CCCCAAAACCCCAAAACCCCATACTACAATGAGATGATAAAATTTAAGTATTTATTAAATTTGAAATCAAAATGAATTACCAGATTTTTGTGAGCTTAGCCCTAGTATCTTTTGGAATGTTTGTGACATTTATGGCACTCTTTGATATTCCGGAAATGGCTGCAACATTTATGTATGAGCATATGAATAGTGAGGATGTTATTCCAACCTATTAGTTCAGTAGCCCAAAACATCCCTTTTATAAGGTTAAAAGGAGTTCAAATGCTGAATATTTCTATACATTTGGAACACCTATGCCAGGCTAAAAAGAGCATTAACTGGTCTACTTTGGAATACCAGGAAATTTAGGTGGTTATATACAATTTCCTCCAATCTTTAATGCCATAGATAACTATACCAGCTATCTAAACACAGCTTAGAGAGACATCTTTTACAGGACTTAGCATTATGGCTTTGATTTTGAAAGATAACCTAGTGCATTTTCTCAATTTGTTGTGCAAGATCAAGCTTAATATGTTGCTTCAGCTATTGCACAAATAATGAAAAGCTATGATTAAAATACTAAGTTTAGTATAATTACTCATTCAATGGGTTCTTTAGTTGCATATGTTGCAATGCAATCTTAGAAATTTCCAGTTGCCTAACTTTAAAATGTATTTTCTCTTGGCGGGCCTTTGGAGGAGGCTCCTTAACTCTTTAATGATGGAATATAGCACTATGTGCACAAAGCTGCTTCTCAGTAATCAGACCACGTCCTTAATAAAGTGATTCATTTTAATTTTCACGGTGGTCCAAGAGACCAGTTAGTAAGTTAAAATTATGCCAATCTTTTCAGATTCTCAAACAGTGCCAATAATATCTCTTCTAATTCTTTAAAATATGCTTTTAATGTCAAGAGTAATTAGCTTAAGAATGTTTACTAGAGTATGGATCACAACTGCTTATTCTACTATAAGCATTTTTGGGATACTATTGCCCCAATCATGGCAAGGATGAGTATGCTAAGTGATAAGTAGCCAGAGGATAGATATTTGGAAGCACAGAGACTTCTCTAAATAAACTTCGAATAAGACTTTCAAATGTAGTTAGCAGAGAACATTAATCCTATTGAAAGTATCTCTCACTCAGTTAAAATTAAGAACATTAGAATGAGTGAAGAGATTATTCTTAATAAGCAGCAGCTAAACTAAATTGAAAAATCAGAAGCTGCTGTTATCATGGAAATATAATTGGAAAACTATTAGGATTTACTTAAAGTTGACTACAGTAGGTATTCAGTATAAATCTAATCAAATATCAATCGAAAATCTAAACTTCTTGTCTATGTAAAAAGTCAAAGTGGTAAGATTTATCAGATAAATGTTAATGATTCAAAATATCAAAGCAGAGTGTATCACTGGTCTAATCTGCTTTCAATAAATATACCAGTTAAATTGATGCAGGACTCATTATATAAGGAAAAATTTGATAGCATCTTAGTCAAGGTGATTCCTCAAACAAAGGTTGAGTATTAGGAAACTCTTATGAATTTGTCTCCATGCTATGATAAAAATACGCCCATAATATGGAAGCAAGCAAAAGAGAATTACACCTATATCGAAGCAACTCTATAGGATAGTGAACATAAGATTCTAATTGAGGATAGAGACCTATTATTTGGCTAATAAAAGCTATTCCAGCTCACTAAAGATCAAAATGCTCTATTTATCATTCAGACACAAGAGTTATCAAGTAGCTCTCTTCCCTATCTTGGAACGATAATGCCAGTTGATATATGTGTTTAATATTCAGAAGATTACATAGGCTAGTATGTCCACAATGTTGTTGAAATAAAGTATTCAGATGAATCCTACCCTGAACTTAAATTCATTACTAGATAAAATTCTTGCTTCAGGACCTATCCATTGAGAAGAAGATCAATTTAAAAACAATCGATGAGTGTCAAAATCATGGGTAGTGGTTCATAGCTCACAAAAGCTAAATTACTGATTAAGCCTAACTACTATCAAGCTTTTAAGGAAAGTGCTGAGAATTAGAAATTTTACTTAGTTACACAGCTAATAACAATAGCCTTGTTTTTACATTTCAATCTAATGAAAAATAATGATCAAAGTCTAATTAACTTTGCTATTTAGAATCCACTGTGGATAATATTCCTAATAATCTCAATCAACTACACCAATGCCACTTGCTACACATTGATTATAGCCCTAGGTTCTATATTCGATCAAGCAACAGGTAACTCTTCTATGTAATAGCAATATTCAATATTGAAGCATTAACTCGGACCCGTTTCAATATCTTTCGTTGACATATTTGTAACCTCAATTCTGACATATATGCTATTGATTTTAATTAGTCTCGCTTTTGAACTAGTGAAATCGGTTATCTAGGCTATTTTCAAAAATAGTTTCTTCTAGACTCGACCGAAAGCAGTCATCTTTTCACATTACCTATTAGTTTTACTGGCCTGTGTAGCCTGCTTTATTTCATTTAAGTATTATCTTTATTTCGCAGCAGTTGCTGTCCTTGTTTTTGTGCTTATAGACTTAACAATAAGGTCAAATATTCAGGATTAGAAACTGACTGAATGGGAGTCAAACTATGAAGATCACATACAAAATATCCTGTTTCCAGTGCTAATTTATCTTGGAATTTTTATCGATAAGTATGTTATGGAAATATGGAGATTTTAGGATGGACTAATTAGATTCGAATATCATTATCAAGAAAAGGAATCAAATTATCACATTCCATGTCTGTTATATATGTTGATGCTGATGTTTATAGATATTTCATCTATTAGACAAGCTTATCAGTCCTATGCACGATACATTATAGCTATTATTTCAACATTTGGCATGTTTACTACAGGAAAGTACCTTCATAGACTCAGACCAGTCATTTCCATTGGAATGCTGATTTTGAGTAATTTATTAGTTATCAAAGCAGCTTTTGTTAAAGGAGGTAAGTATTTTCATAAAGGAGACCCAAATAAAAAGGATAAAAAAGACTGATTAATAAAAAGATTAATTTCTGTTAGATATTCCAGAATATGTTAACTATGGGGTTTTGGGGTTTTGGGGTTTTGGGG